TTTCGACACCAGGTGGGTGTCCTATAATTCAATTCAGTTCAATCAATTCTGACACTATCTACCTGGAGTTTAGTGTCAGATCCCACAAGTTAAGGGCTCAGTCCCACAAGACTGCCCCCAGTTCAGGTGCTAATTGCAAGGCCAGACCACCTGTACTTCTGACCAACCATCTGTAAGTCACAGGTTCCCACCACCGCCTCCTTGAAGTTTTCTAGAATGGCTCACAGAACTTAGGAAAAGAGTTTGCTTACTATTACTGGTTTATTATAAAGGGTGCAAGAACCAAATGGAAGAGACACACAGGTCAAGGTATGTGGATAGAAGCATGGAGCTTCACTGTCCTCTGTGAGCATGCACCCTCCCAGTACCTCACCGTATTCACCAACTCTGAACCTCCCTGAACCCCTTAGTTCAGGGTTTTTTATGGAGGCTCCAGTACGCAGGCTTGATTATTTAGATCATTGGCCATTTTTGAGTAAGTCAGTCTCCAGCCCCTCTCCCCTCCCTGGAGGTTGGGGAGTGAGGTCAGCCGGGCTGAAAGTTCCAATCCTCTAGTCATAGTTGGTTCCTCTGGCAACCAACCCCCATCCTGAAGCCCCCATCAAGAGTCATCTCATTAGCATAAACTCAGGAAAAACTAAAGACCAGCCACTCCTATCACTCAGGAAATTCCAAGGGTTTTAGAAACTCTGTGTCAGGAACTGGCGGTAAAGACTAAATATATATTTCTTAATATATCATGATATCATATACACCATAGTTGGTTCTTTTATCTACTCTGCCATCACTGCTTCCCCACAAGGGAACCCCAATTCCTGTCAGAGGGATGCCTGCCCACTTATTTCTCAGAAGTGTGGCCAGACTTCATCCCCTCGGGCCAACTGAACCTCCTCGGCTGGTTTTCGGAAAGCAGCCAGTGTTGCCCTGTCTGTCCATCTTCCAACTTTGATTCTGGTTATGTGAGAATGGGTCTTCAGCTCCTATTAGCTTGTGGCCTCTTTGTGTCCACGACAGCGTCCGCCGTCCAGAGCACAGTGGGCAGTCAACACATATTAGAATGTGAGACTGCCGGCGGCACAGTGATCTGGAACTGGCAGACGCCACCATAACAGCAACAACACCAGCATTTGCACACAGGCATCTTGTTTTGCAAGGTGCAGGAGTTAACAACCTGTTTAACCCGTCATATAAAATAGTACTTTGCTTTACAGAAGATGTCTTCATGGAGTTCTTTTCCTTAGAGAACTTTAGAAAATTGTGATCGGTTGTTACTTTTAATGAATTTGTTCACTATGCAAAGCTAGGTTTACCCACACGGTATTTTGAGTTTTGTTTTTTCCTACCTTCCATGGAAAGGTCTCTGGGGCAAATTTTATCGTTAAGGGCATCTGAGCTTCCTTTTGAGGGCATCTCTCCCTCTTTGGGAAAGGATGAACAACAAATGATGATCTCATCTGAGGTGGTTTTTTGGGTGTGTTTAGAGCCCAAGTTGCATGCATATGGACGTGAGGATGTAGAGACAGTCACATGCACCTGGGCTGTGTCAGACTGGACTGGCAATCCTTGTGGACCCTGTCCACCTTAACCTTAATCTCCCCTTGTCTCCAACCAGCCAGCCCTCACCGCCCTTCAAGATTTATCTCCCGTTTCTGTCCACTTGAAACCTTCCCTGTCTCTTCTCTCTTGTTCTTTCTTCTATGACTGTTTCCAACTGTCTTTCTCACTTTATTTCCTACCTGATACATTATTTCATTGGATCCCACATGGGTTGAGAGCACGAATTGTAGAGTCAACTGTTGACAATCCCCAGTCTGTGACTTTCAGGTAGTCCCTTCACCTCTCTGTGCCTCAGCTCCCTTCTTTGTTGAAAGGGGCAAACAATAGCTGCTCTATCCTGGTTGTCTTAGGAGGATCAAATGAGATCATACAAGTATTTAGCAGGTACCCAGTAGACAGTAACTATTCAGTAAATGCCGACCAGGAACAGTGATCATGATTCTAACAGGAGCTGTATTCCCTAGTTCGAGGGTAAGATGCTACAGGGTGGAGGCTGGGTCTCCTGTTTGGTGCTCCAGAGTTGATCCTAGGGCTGAAGTCACAGAAGCACTCCATAAATACCCAGGGGATTTAAGGAGGCCTCCAATATCGTGCTTTCTCTTCTGTCTGCTTTATCAGAATTACATTTAAGTAAACTTAGTGTTTGGCTGGTCCTTAGACCCATTTTATAGAGTCCATGTGTCAGTGATTAAATAAAGGGCTTATTCACAAGTGTTTATTTTCCTAGAGTAAAAACACCCAGCCAAACCTTGTGCTTTTAAGACTCCTGCTCTTGGCCAACTAGTACAGCACAGAACAGAAGCCCAAAGGGAGAGCCACCCTTGCTCTTTTAGTGTGAAGGGAAAGCAGGTCTGATTCTAGAAGCAGCCAGAGAGGAAGAATTAGGAAGAGCTCTGGGAATGGGGAAGTCCTGTGGGAGATGTCACTAGCCAAAATTATCTCTCATTTCAGCAGCCACTAAAAAGAGCCCCACCTGGCCCCTTCCCCTGGGGGGTGACCTCGCCCCTGTGCCGGCGTGATGGGCCCCACAGGCGCAGGAGGGAGCAGTCATCAGGGATCGGGTTACCCGTGGGCATGACGTCAGGATGCCTCCTAAGAGCCTGGGGCTGGCCTCATGGAGAGGCAGCAGCTGCGCCCCATGCACCCTCTGTGGAGCCGGTTTAGATCTGAACCTCTGTGAGGATGGAGGGAGGGAGGGCTGTGACGGCCTCCATCACTTGTAAGGGAGCCAGGGCTCCTCTTCCTGCTCAGTCCTTTTGCAGCTTTCTCTGCAAGACTAGTTTGCAGAGGAGGGGAACCAGGAGCCCCTAGTCGGGCAAGAATCCAGGCATTTGAGTGGAGGGAAGGCTTCAGGTCCCTGGGATGGGCCTGCCAGAGCCATCAGTGGTGGATGGTAGGCAGAGGGATGTCCTGGGAAGAACTGGATCTGGAAACTGATCCCAGATGAAATCCTGGATCCAGACCTTCCGATGGGACCAGATGCAAATCATTTCTCCTCTCTGATTATCAGCTCCTCATCTGTAAAATCAGGAGAATAGCACTCTTCAGGGATATTTCCCCCCACCTTTGGAAAAGAGAGCAGAGAGGCTATTGAGTGCAGAGAGACTGTCGAGTGCAGAGAGAGAACTCGATACATGGCAGCTCTTTGCTACCCCCTCCCCCATCCCATCCCTCCCAAAAACACAGACAGCTAGCTAGACTCTTACAGCTGCAGTTTAGTAGCTGCTAGACTCTTCCAATGATGAGTGGGGTCAGCTCTTCACTTCATGTGCTCTATGAAGCGCTATCTAGAGCCAGTTTCTGAGGTCTGGGTAGATTTCCCCTTTGATACCTGGGTCTTTAAATCCAGAGTCACTTTTGGGCAGACAAGGAAACCGAGGCCCAGAGTTGTCACACCCAGAGTGGCAGAACCAGACCCAGGCCCTCAGTCCAGGTTGTACAGCACTATTTGTCATTTCCTGACTTCTCAGGATCTTCTCACAGCCTCTAAGGATTTGCATGTGCTATTCCCTTTGCCAAGAACAACAGCCCCACCAGTTGTGCTTAACTGTTTGTCCTCTTTGAAGATTTTGAGCAAGTCACCGCCTCTGAGAAGCCTTCCCTGATTACCACTTCCTGGCTGTTCTGGTGACCCCTCCTCTGTGCTTGCAGGGCCACAGGAGCTGACCTCTGTGGTGAACATCTCACACTCCATCATGGACAGCTGTCCCCCTGTCTGTCTCCCCAACTTGACAATGAGCTTTTCAAGGATGTAGGCCAAGTCTTACCCATTTTTGTATTTCTGCTCTTGTGTCTGGCACATTGCAAGTCTCCAAGACCTCTTCAGGCAATGAATGAATGAGCAAATGAACAGAGAGAAGGAGATGGGTGATGCTCATGGTGGTAAGCTTTTCCAGAAAGTTTTCCACTGGCTCTGTTAAACAAGATGGCCCACCTCCAGCCCATCTTCTATTAGAGACTTCTCTGCCTCCTCTGTACAGCCACCCATTGCCTGAGCTGTATGTCCATCTTTGTGGGTCCTAAGGACTAGAAACCCTCCCACAGTGAGGTACAGAGAAGCTGATATTTTGGGTCTTTATTTCAGATAGCCCCTGCAGCTTTCTTGTGGCTCTGTCCTTGGCTGACATCCTGACAGCGTTCCCAGAAGGTGCATTAATGGAGACATCACTTTATTGCCCTCCAGAGCTGAGTGTCAATAACCCTAGTGTGCATTCATTCATTCACTTGTGCATTCATTCAACGCATTCCTCCTTCCATTAGGGCATATAATCACAAAGTGACTTTATTACTCACACAGCTCCAATGTCACTTGGAGCAAGCAATTAGATTTTTCCCAAAGGCCAGATTTGGGGGTCAGGAGGGCAGGCTGATGGAGCACTGACAAGTATTCTGATGTCACCTTTAAAATATGCAGTAGAATCCCTAAGTCATATGGCCCCTCCCCCACTTACCCACACGCCCCCATCATCATCCAGTAGTGGGGTTAGAGATACAGCTGCTTTCTTCCCTTCCCCAGGGCAGGGAACAGCCAGCCAGACCCAGGGCCCCTGCAGGATTCGAAGTCCTCAGAGTGGCAGTCACACTTATTTTGCTCACATGCAGACGCAAAGAAGCAAGCTTCTTCCTGGCCTTCCTATTCATCTTTCAGTGACGTCAAGACAACTCGGCGGACATTGAATGGGAGCAAGCTCTCCCGGGTACTTCAGCAGGATTGTCAGAAACTGGACCTGGGGGGTGTGTAGTCTTGGAAAGGTCATTTCACTCCTGTGAGCCTCCATTTTCCCATTTATATGGTGGGGCTAGCAATCCCAGCCCCTTCTCCCTGTAAGGTTATTGTGAGGATTAAATAAGGTCATGTTTGTGAAAATGAAAAGGATATTCCTTGAGTACATCCCAGGCACTATTACCATTTCCATTTTATAAGTAAAGGACCTGAGGCTCAGGGAAGTTAAGTACTTTGCTCAAAGTAACACAATAACTAAGGGTGTTTTGTCTGACCCCAAAGCCTATGCTTTTTATCACTATCTCATCTACTGTTTCAGATTTGAGCTATGTGACATTGAACGAGCCACTTCCCTCTCTGGTCTTCACTGGTACCGCCTGACAATGAGAGACGTGGCCTGGATTAATGCTAAGGCCCCTTTCAGCTCCAAATTCCTGGTTGTGCTTTAAATAGGGACGCATGCACACAGCACCCAACAACACTTACTTCCTCCAAGTCTGGCTTCTTTGAACATGGAAGGACTTGACCGTGCGCAGACTCTAGCCGAGAGACTGTGCCGGAGGAGCAAACAGCTTGCAACGCACATCTCAATAGCAGAGCCCAGCCTGCCTAAGTGGGAAATGGATGTTGTAATACAAAGGCAGTTAGCAGGGTCCTTGGAGGTTTCAGCAGGATGTAATTATGGTTCTTTAAAAAAAGGCTCGCATATGTTTTTGAGCAAACTTAACAGATGCCCGGATGTCATGTCTGTACTCTTTGGGGAGTCTAGGATGACTGATTTTCTACAGCAAGTTTTCGTAGCTCATTGGAACGACCCATTGCAAATCAATTCCTAGGGTGCAATTTAATGAAAGCTTTCAGTGGTGATTCAGATAAATAATCTAAAAACCTTCCTAAAATGACCACAACTTTTCTGCCTGGTCTACTGTGTGTTTGATAAACTAGATAGATAGTCCTCTCTGTAGTTATAGCTTAATGGGATTCCTTCAAAAAGAAATCTTTAGCCACGCCTGTTTACAGGGATTGAGGGTTTTAATGCTGTGTGCTTTATTTCTGGTGCGTCAACCTTTGCAAACTTTTGCAACTTCCTTAGAGATTTTTCTTTGAGCTGTGTGCCCTAGGGAGACCTTCTGAATGGTTTACTACCATTTTATTTTAGAATTAAATGCACATTGATTCTAAAGAATCAATGCCCAGTTAAGGCAGTTTGGGGGCCACTTCTGTACCCCAGCACACTTTATCTGGAAAAGTCTCTTGGAAACCCACGTCCTTCTGAGGCCGTGGAGAATATTGAGCAGCTGCATCAGGAAATCGAAAGATAACAAGCCTGGTTTCCTTTGGCGGGCACCTTGACGTCTCTTTTCTGGGCTGGAGCTCTAACTCATCTGATAAATTTCCAATCGAATCTTCTGCATTGAGTGATTCTTTTTACTAAGACCTGGTTGCAGGGTTCACTTCTCTGTTGTGGCTGCCTCGGGACCAAGACATTTTCTTGCTAATAATGAACAGTTGAAGACAGCTGAAGATGGAAGCCTTGCACGTGTCTGGTGTGGGCAGAATGTCAGCCTTTCACTTGCCTCCAACTATTCATAAGCCTCCATAATTTCATAGCCATCGATTTCCTCTCCTCCCCGGCACGCTCTCTCATTGGCTTGTTGCCCACATCCTGTAATTGTGCCAGTCACCCCCATGACCTTTCTTTTGCTGAGCCTGATTAATAATGTACTCGACACATTTCCCTGTTGCATCAAATACCAATTTGGCCTGAATGGGTGGAAGAATGGCTAATGAGGAGATGGTTAAACCTTCTTATTGGATAAGCCTGCTCCTTGAGCTGGTGTTCAGAGATGGGGGTTGGAGGAGGGGAAGAAGAAACTGCATTGTAACATTTTACTCAGCAAGTTTTTCTCCAACTCTGTACCAGCGTCTGATTCTAATTACCCAGATGCAGCTCTTGTGCAGGAGAGAGTGTGTCATCTGATATCGGGGGACTCTGAGCAGCCAAAGGCCTCAGATGACACAGCTTTGTGGCAGGTGTTTGCCCACTCCTCAAATGTTTTTGCTCAATATTTGGGATTGAGAGGAGAGTTATTACAACATGGAGTAGCATATTTATTTAGGAGTGAGGGAGGGAGGAGACCTGTCCTCTCTTTCTGCAACTTTCTTTGTGTCCTGAAATGTCCTGGGAGTGTGGAGTGTGCTCAGTCAGAGGATGGAGTTGGGCAACCACTGAGGAAGACATGGCACCCCGCCCCCCATGCAGAGATACATCGTTTGCAGCTGCTTTAATTAAAGGCCAGGTTTACTGACAGTTGATGTTAAGAGGCCATGTGCTGGGAGATGTGGTTTCCATGCTGTGTAACAGCAGGTAACTGGGCTCTCAACTCTGAGTTTTGGGAGGATCCCATGACTCTCTGGGAAGAGGCATTTTGTTGAGACGCCTGTAGCCTCACAGAACATCAGAGGTGGAGGTTCCTTAAGACCATCTATTCCAAGCCCCCATTTTACATATGGGAAAACTGGGGTCACAGTTAGGAAAATTTCCTCTGTAATCCTTACCATCTTTGGAAAAGAACTGCAGAAAAATGGAAGCCACTGCGTTGACTAAGTTTTATTGAGCATTTATTATGTGCTCTTCTGTGTTATTCCATACTAAAAACTCTACATGCATTTCATTTACTCCTCAGAAAAATTCTGGCAGGCAGGTCTCATTCATTATCTCTGTTTTACTGAGGGGGGGCAGTGTAGTTTTGAGAGGAAAAGTAACTTTTGGAGAAGTCAGCACTCAAATCCTCATCATCTGATGCCAGTTTGCCTTATGAATCACCATGTTCTTCCACCTTCTGACTGAGTCCAGTTTAACTTCTCCTCATTTTACAGGGGATGACACCCACAACTCAAAAGGGAAGCAACTTGCCCAAGGCCACCCAAAGAGTTAGTGGAAAATATTGTTATTGCTACTAAAAGTAGCTAATATTTATTGAGCACTTGCTGTGTACCAGAGATTGTACTGGAAGCTTTACTCCTCTTATTTAATTTTTAAACACAATCCAAGAAGAAGTTTGGTACCATTAGGTGAGGTACCACCTGGGGGGCGGGGGAGGGTAAGAGTAACTTATCCAGGGATTAATAGGATTTAAGCAGAAGCTCCAAAAGTCAAGTGTCCTAATTCTACTTTGTGAAGAAGGCCTGGCATCCCAGAATTCTGTACACACCCATTTCCATATCTCATTAAATCCCCATAGTAACCCTGTAGGCAAGACTTGAGAAACCGGAGATAATGCTCTGCTGCTAAATGCATCGTGCGCTCTCTGGCAAGTCGCTTCTCCCTGTGCCTGCCTCAGTTTCCTTATTGGTAAAAGGGGGGGTAGCATCCTCGTTTATGCCACAGGATCTTATGAGAAAGTAAACGTGCATGTACTTCACTAGCTGAAAGGTGCTAACCTGGGGATTGTTGGTTCTTGCCATTAAGTCCCTTTATCCTTTGAGGTCTGGAAGCTTTCTCTGTTGCTTCCTCCCTTCAGATCGCCACTGGAGGGTCCACGTTTGTTGTGAGTTAGATGACAGCTGGGTTTATATTTGATTCGGATGGAGCGTGGCCTGGGTATTAAATGCTGTCAGCAAGGCCTCTTTTCTAGCTGGCTCGGGGGGACAACAGAGCTCCCAAGGGCTCCATCCAGATGTGTGGGGATGCCTGCAGAGGGGAGCGGGTGGTGGGGCCTCCAACACTGAGTCCTCATTCCATTGTGCTTGAAGCATATAGAAAATATCAGTCCCAAACAGGAGCAGGCTGAACCCTGTTTCAAAATCCAGCCCCACGTCCATGAGATGGTGGAGAAGATCAGCTTGAGGGGTTTTGGTTATAAGTAATGCTGAGAAATGGTGGGGAAACCAGATTTCAGGACCTCCTGGCCCCATCAGCTGTGCATTCTAATCATTTCATAGCATTTGGCCATTTGGGCTGTTGGGGTTTCTAGGAAACCTTAGCCAGTCTTGTGTGTGTGTTGTTTTTTTTATTGGAATGGGGAATTTTGTTTTTTTCTCCAGTCTACCCTGATTTCCTCATTTTAAACTCTGCAGTACTTAATTCTCTCTGAAAGCAAGAGGGGGCAGATAAGATTTTTGAGAGCCAACTCGTCGATGGACTCTATGCTAAGACTTTGACACACATGACCCCATATCATTCCCACAGAAACAGATCATTCTCTCCTTGGGGGCTCACACGCTCTCGCTTTCTCCCTCATGTGAATGGTTTTGCCTTTTTAATCTTCTTTGCTGGCTCTTCCTCTGAATGTTGAGTGCCCTGGGCTCAGTCCTTCATCCTTTTTCCCTCCTCTAGGACTTTGGAGTTGGTCTTGTCCAGCCCTTTGGTTTACCTTCCCTCTCTGTGCCAATACCGCCCATGTTCACGTCTCCAGACTGAGCTGTGCACCTGGGTTGCAGACTCATACATCCTGCTTCCAAGTCCCCCAGGAAGTCTGGCCTCTGCCTGCCTCTCTGACCCCCTCCTTCCAATCTCCCTTTTAGCCTCAGTGACCTTCATGTCATTCCCAGAACCTGTCAACATATTCCCAACTCAGTCTTTGCACCTCTTGTTCCTTTTGCCTGGAAATTGGTTCCCCCAGTACTCACTTGACGACCTCACTCTTCACATAGGGCACCTCCTCTGACCATGTCATCTAAACCTGCCTCTCCGACAGGACCCCTACCTCCCACTTTCTGTGCCCTTTTCCTGTTGTTTTTGGTCATAGTACTTATCCTACCTGAAATGTCATGCTTATTTGTATTTGTTTTTTGTTTGCCCCTCCCCCCGAGATGTAAAATCCACGAAGGCAAACACTGCTGCTCACTGCTGCAGCACCAGCACCTAGAACGTGGCTGCCAGTGGCCGGAGCCCAGTGAGTGGTTGACAGATGTTAAATGAAAGGATACTTTGAGAGGTAGGACTTATTTCTCCAATTTTAAAGGTGAGGAAATGGAGGCTGAAAGATGTCATAGGCCCCTAACACAGGCTTTTTCCCCCTCAGAAAAGGTGTCCTAGTTTTAATCAAGATCACTTACATGAAAATAATACATTCATTCTGATAGCAATTTATAAAACTTATAACAGAGATCAAGCTTTCTTAGATGTCCAGACAACAAAATTCAATATGTGCATTTCTCAACAATTACGATGATGTATTATGAACATAATTTACCACATGTATGACTCGGCTGCTTTTTTCCCCTCAAAAACATGCTTTTCTGACTTCAAACATGTTATTGTTGATTATGTTGCAGTAATTTGGCACCCATAACTCTTTGTCAGCAACAGCAGATGACTGTTTATCTGGGAATCAAAATACCTGGTGCGTCCAAGGAGATTTTTTCGTAAAATGTTGAGCTGAATCAACTCCTTAAAAAAAAATCCTTTGTCCTTCTGATTTCCTTCACTCTGGAAATGTCAGGAATCCAGCACAATTCAGAATCCGGACGTTCAGGGTACATAACTGTTCCCCACCTTGTCCCCTGTTTGGCGCACCTGGCAGTTTGGGGCCTGTCATGTCATCCAATTTCCCTTCAAGGCTTTTTCTCCTCTTTGGATTGGATGCCTGTCCTTGTCTCTGCATCAGAACCAGGCCCCTCCCCCCTTGATTGGTGGTCCCTCCGGCACACAAAGACAGGACTGTGTATCTGTCCCTTCCGGTCGGATGCTGCCTGGCTTGCCCAGCCTCCGGGTCAGAACTTGGACCCTGATGTCCTCCTTTCTAACCACGTTGAAATCTCCTTCTGGACAATGACACTTATACTTTTAGGTTCCTTCCAAATTGTAGCCCAGTGTTGGCCGCTATTGCCGCTCAGTAAAGACTTGTTTGTCCAGCTTCTCAGTTTGTGGCAGCCAGTTGTTCTCTCCATGGTCCCCTCATACTCGAGGAGTCATGGTTCCACAATCCGGGTGGGCTCTTCTGTGAGGTGATAGCAGGACATCCCCGCAGGAGCACAGTGTCCCTACTGCAGTCACTCGAAATCAGATGCGGCTCGATCTATCCCAGGGGACAGCCAGGCACAGACCAGGCAGTGAGAGACCGCTCGTGGAGAAAGCAGGGCAAGGCACGGGTGCTCCCTTCCTTCTGATCTCTGCTTCTGTAGTTATTTCCTGTTTAAAAATTTCTTATTTGTGCAAAATTCTTCTGGGGTTGTTTGTTTCCTGGTGCTTGAATTTCACTATCTACCCCCTCCTCGCCAAGCTCAGCTCTCACTCTACATTAGTCTTAATTTACTGTTCTCCCAGCCTCTCTTTCCTATTAAATTAGATATTAGACATATCCATCAGCCAGTGCTGTTTGGGGGTGGAGTTTGCAGCCTGTGCCCGAACTACTGAACATTGTGGCTTATATGGACCTGAATTTATCTACAGAATTACACCCAAGCCTGTGCTTTCACTTGTGCGGGTGCTCAGGTCCTGTTATTCTACCTAATGAAACACTAACCTCCCCCTCTCAGAAGGTATCAACAAAAGGATCCCATGCCGTCATCCCTTGGCAGTCCCACAGATCTTTATGTTATATCTTCTGGTGGTGATGGTGGAACTGTGTGTGTTTATGAGCATTATATTAGCCTTTCCTCACAAGATTCATTTTTATTAAAAACACAAATATCACTATAAATATCTTGGTAGGAAGGCTGAAGAGGATTTCAGGAGAAATGAGGCAAAAGGATCAAATGTCTATAGGTTAACCTGTTGCTTAAATGAGAGACAAGATGGCGTGGACTTTTTCTTACAGGTAGCCTTCATCAATTCTTCTTTAGATAGGATGTGACAGCTAAGAGCGTGCTGGTGTAAAGACATGTCATGGGGAAAAGGCAAGTTGATGGAAATTGTTTTAAGAAAAATCTTGTGTTTAGAAAAATCATGATCTCTACTTCTGTAGTTATTTCCTGTTTAAAAATTTCTTATTTGTGCATTTCTGGTTGTGTGGGCCAGTGCATTCCCTTGTTATTTAAGCTAAGTTAAAATGGATTTTCTTTTACTTGCTGTCAAAGCACCCTGATTGTAAGTAGCAGTAGCATGCACACAACACTTGGTACTTTACAAAGCACCTTCACATCGATGGCCACATTTAAATCTCGTTAAAAACTACCTTGAGGTAGTTACTACAGAGAGGAAAACCGAGGCTCTAAGCGAATGGGAGACTTGTCCAATGTCGTATCACTAATGAGTGATGGAGCTGGACTCGAACCCAAGTCTTTCCATTTCTGTTTCAAGTTCCTTCTACAATCTCACACTGTCCTTCAAAGAAATAGATTTGTTCATTTAGTCAATTATCTATCAATCAATCAGTCAGTCAATCTGTCTGTCTGTCTGTCTATCTATCTATCTATCTATCTACCTATCTACCTACCTACCTACCTACCCATCCATCCATCCATCCGTCCACCCTCCCACCCATCCACCCATCCATTCATCTATCTGTCTATCCATCCAAAACTACTCATTGAGAACCTGTTATATACCAGATACTGTCTGGAACTCCCAGTTTGGTAGGGAAGACAGTATGTAAATGTATAATTATAGTCAAGTGTGACAAGTGCTTGAGCATTAGCACTGAAGCTCTGGAAAAACAAAGGAAGATTGCCTGGTCTGGGGCAGTGGTCAGGGAGAGCTTCCTGGAGGAAGTGATGTGGATTAACAAGCAGTAATTTCCAGGGGTGGTATCAGCTTCTGATGCACCACTATTCTGTTCACCCCTTATATCACTCTTAGCTGGGCACAGTTGTCAAGAAAGTAGTGGAGTGAGTCTAGTTCAAGAAGGAAGAACATTCCCAGTGAGGGGACTCGGAGTGATAAGGTGGCCCAGAGAAGGCTGTGAACACCTGGGATGGGGACAGTGCCCTAGGCAAGAATCAGAAGTCTTGTTCTGGCCCTGGGCAAACTTTTTTTTTCCCCAGGCCTTGCTTTCTCATCAGTGATACAAAGGGGTTGAAAGCTTAAAAGTGCTGATTGCACTGTTCCAAGCAAGCTATCCCAAGAACAGGGCATATAGGATTGTTGTCAGGGAGCTTGGAAGGGTGTTTCCCATGCCCCTCATAGCCACGTGCCTTTGCACTAGCTCTGCCTTCTGCCTGGAAAGCCTTTGCCCATCTTGTCCGTCTGTTAACCTCTAACTCCTCCCTTGTCTGTTCTTCCTGTTCCCAGGCAGATGTAGGGGCCCTTTTCAGCAACCACAGAGCCCTGGGCTCTATCTGTCCTGCTCCTTGGCTCTGGAAGTTTGCATGTGTGACTCTACTGGCCATGCATTCCTTGAGGGGAGGGACTGTGACCTTTTATCTCCACGTTCCCAGAACATAGCACTGTGCCGGGCATGATATATATGTCAAATAATGGTGGAGGATTGTGGACTTGATTTGATCATAGGTCTTCCAAAAATGACTTGGGTATTCCAAATAAAGTGCTTTCATGCCCATTGTACAGACAATACTCTCAAGGCCCTGGGAGACAAAGACTTACGGGGAAGGACCAGCCAGGTCTCTTGCTTCCCAGGGCAACAGTTCTGCCATTCCCCCAAGACTCTCAGGATTTCAATTTCATTTCAGTCCTTTAAGGAAACAGAAGAGACATTTTCACTGGTGTACATTAAAGGAGACGGGAGTCAGGGTGTAGCAGCTTAAGGAGAGGAGTGATACGAAGTACTTGAAGGTTCATTTGGGTAACAGCCTTTTGAATACATTAAGACGGTGAGGCTTGGCGGAGGCAGGTGGGAGATCAGAGGAGACAGCATTTGACAAGGCGGAGCTGTCTGGGCCCTGAACAAACAGCTCATCTCCCAGGAGAGTGAAAAAGGGTTTCGTAGAGCATGTGCATGAGACAGGCTCCATGTGCAGTGAAGTGATGCGTTTGGCAAACACGTTTCTCCCCCTCTGCGTGGGCTGTCACAGCCTTGGCCCTTCTGCAAGGGTCATTTATCTTTCAACTTCCAAGTGGTAAGGGACTCTTTCAGGCCATCTGAAAATGGAGGCCGGACTTTTGTGGGGGTGCCTGCTTCATTTTCATGTCTGATCATCATTGCTTTGGGATATTGTTTCTGTCTCTTTGTTTATCCCCCCTGAGTTTATTCCTTGGCAACGTGCCTCTGGCTCGGTAGGGGCCCTGATGCATCCTCCCGTGCTGCTGCCTGTCAAAACCCCATGAGAGGCACCTTATCAGTTCCCTGGCAGGCGCAGTGTGGTGGCGCCGCGTGCACGCACTGAATCGCTGATAGACGCCACTCGCGGAATCAGTGTGCACCTTTAATAAAGAGCACCGCCTCGCTATTTGCTATGATAGGGCTGGTCATGATAAAATCCTCTCTCTCCGATTGGCTTTGGAAATGGCAGATGGAGAGCTGGGTGAGGGTGGGGCGTGGGAGTCACTCACGGAGGAGATGCTCCCTTTTGTAAAAGCTGGATTCGTCTCTGCCAAAGCCTCCAGGTGTCCAGCCCAGTACAGGTTTTCTGCTCTGAAAGAAGGGAGGCTCAACACACACGTCCCACACGCTGCTGAGGGGGTTCTTGCCTTCTGAGTACCAGCATCCTGACCAGCCTCTGAACTCCCTGAGGGCAGGGCTGTTGTATTTTTCTGCTTCCCCAACCCGAGGCTCAGTGTCAGGCACATGTGTCTGTGGAGGCCCTTGGAGCCTGAGTTCCAGCCCTGGCTTCAGCCCTTGTTAGCTGTGTGATCTCAGGCAAATTTCTCAGCTTTTCCTGAATCCTTTCCTCAGTGTGTTGCAGGTGTCAGGGGTAGAGATGTTTTCTGGAAATGCTGCTGCCCCAGCTGAGTCCGGAAGGAGGAAGAGTCAGGGCTGTTTGGAGGACTACTGGTGGGCAAGCGAGGTCTGCTTGAGATACCTATGTAACTCTTGATAAGAAGGTCCAGGAACTTCCCGTCTGGTTCACAGTCAGACCTGCTAGGTGGAGCAGGAGCAGGGAGAAAAGACACTCAAGTTCTATGACTGGATGGAGGAGCCATGGGGGTCAGAAAGAGACCTGTTTATAGAATGAGAGCAACAAGCTTGTTACCTGGGAGGAAGAGGAGTGTGGGATGCTATGAAGCCATGACAGCAGCAGGGAAAACTCCAGGTAACAGTTGGAAGAAATTCATGCCCATACTTCACACTTAATTCACTAGAAAATATCCATCCTGTCTTTGCTTCCCTGTGAGGTTCTGAAGCAGACTCCCAGTTGGCTGCTGTAGAGAAAAGGGCAGAGATGGAGGACAAGAGAATGGTGACCATCTTAGGCCTCCGACACCTGCTGGGTGTGGCCACCTCCATTGTCCTGACTCCTCTCTCCCCAGCATACTACCATGTCTCTGGGGAGCTGACCCATGTGTGCTTAGTAGAGAGTTTTTTTCCCTGTCTCACTTCAGACTGCCTGCTTTGCCTGGTACTCCTCCGAGACCCCCACACCCTCTTTCCTACTGCTTTGCTGTCTGCATGCAGAACCCGGTCACGGCGGCACTCCACCCACCTGCCCAAGGTGCTTTCCCAGGAAGTGCTTCCTACTTCCACCAGCACCAAGAATTTAACAAGCTCTTCTACATCACCAACAGACCATTTTGAAAAACAGATTTAATATCTTGGATAGCTATAGTGCCTATAATTACAGATATATATATATATATATATATATATATATATATATATATATATAATATATATATATATATATATATATATATATATATATATATATATATAAAATAAAGTTATGTAATTAATATCTTGTACTATGTATAGTTGCAGATGGGATAAATACTGCCATAATGGCTCTTCCACAAAACATCCCTTTTGTCTCATCCTTCTCACTCCCTGCACGTCGTATTACTTGCAATTAACCATGTTAGTGCAATCTTTTTATGCAAACAAACAAAACTAATAAATAATAGAGTACATCTTCTCTCTGCTCTGCCAACCACCTAGTCGGCCTTAATGAGATTTGAACGTGACACAGCAATGTTGATACCCGTCAAGCTTGTTACAAAGGGATTCTTTCCATATTGGATTTCCTTAAGCTACTGCTATTCCCTCGCATTTAGATATATCATCCCTGTGGCTCTGAAAGTCTGGACAGCACTAGCAAGAAATTGTCCTGGTCTGGGAAAATCATGGCATGCTTGAACTATCTCTGGAATTACCATATTCTGGGATCTAACGGGCCGCTCAGGAAGTGAAGTGCTTTTGAGTAGGTTACTGTGAAGTGTGTGGGAGTAGCAGGAAGGAGCTCCTGTCTCCCGGGATCCGCCATGACCTCCTCTGTGACCATGGGCCAATAGGAAGTGGAAGAGCCTTCAATTTCATGGCAAAGCCCTGGTGGTCAGTGTACTCTGAGCATTATCAATGGCTGATGTGCCATGGAGATGCTTGTGGAGGAGGATTCATGCACTGACCAGAGTGGGTTTTCTGAACAAATTATAGATACAGATCCAATTATGTCACTTTCATGCTGATCATCCTCCATAGACTCCTTGTCAGCTTTGCAAAATGTCCAAGTTCCTTAGCTCAACAAAGGGTTCCTTGACTACGGTGACCAAGTGCATGGCTTTGGAATTCCTGGGATGTGGGACTTTCAGCGCTAAAAGGGAAAAGTCAGGACCACCTGGGCTGAGTTGACCACCCTCTAACCATGACCTCAGCCTGCCCCCCTCTGTAGACCCAACTCTTACCCTTATCTTGAGCAATAAACTCTAGTGGTTCTAAATGGGTTGTAATGATTGCCTGCTATTTCTTTTCTTTAAGTTGATGTGTAGTTGATTTACAAGAAATGTTATATTGGTTTCAGGTTTACAACATAGTGGTTCAATATTTTTATAGATTACACTCCATTTTCTCTACTGTTCCTTGCCTCTTTGACTCCATCCCTACCCTCTTTGTTGCTTGGAAGGCTCCTCTATCTCCCCTGTCTTTGCCCAGCTGGTTCTCCTCCTACTTTAAGGCTCAGTAAGGCATCACCTCATCTGGGAAGCCTTTGTTGATCCCCCAAGTTGGGAGAGTTTCTTTACTCTGTGCTTAGTCCCCTGTCACAGTCATCACTCTGTCTCTTTATTATCTGTTTCCTTGTCCAGCTCCCACACTGGACGAGGAGATTTGTGAAGGCAGGAATTCACCGTACTAGACTGTATATTTCCAGCACCTAGTATAGTGAATAGGCAGAGACATTTAGGAAATACTTTATTTACAGATTTATTTAAGTATTTAAATACTTAAGTGATTGTGTGAATTAAAGATAGATGATAAGATATAGCCCTGGTGCTGGTGAACTTTCAAAATTTGTGTGCCTGTGTTCTGTTGGCAAACATGCAGAGCAGTTTATGAAAGAAGATGGGGAGGCCCTGACCCTTTCTGGAGATGCAGATGCCAAGCTCAGTGTCACCAAATTTTCGGCCCAGAGAAAAGGGGGCTGGAAGTGAGGAGGGAAGTGAGGAGGGGATATGAGATGAGGGTGGTGGCAGGTGGGACTCTGAAGAGCAAGTTGGTGTCCTGGGAGCTGGGATGGGAGAAGGACAGGACAACCTGGGGAGAAGTGAACCAAGTAGAACATCAGGGCAAATGCAGGGTCATTGTCATTTGGCTCGTCAGTGCTAAAGAGATATCCTTTTTATTTTTTAAGTTTTAATGTGAAGAGGGATGGAAGTTTTCTTTTTTCTTTTTTCCCCCTCATATTATTGACATATATCATTGTGTAAGTTTAAGGTGTACAGTTTAATGATTTGCCTTATAGACGTAATCAGATAATCAATAAATTTAGTAAGCATCCGCCATCTCATACAGATACAATAAAAAGAAAGAGCAAAAAAGGAGAAAAATTTGTTTTTCTTATGATGAGAACTCTTGGGATTTACTCTCTGACGCCTTTTGTATGTAACATACAGCAGTGTTAATACAGTCATCGTGTTGTACGTTACATCCCTAGTATTAATCTTTTAATTGGAAATTTGTAACTTTTGACCACTTTTCTCCAGTCCTCCCCTCACAAATCTGATCTCCAAAGAGATATTCTTGACTAAGCTGCCTACCCAAAAAAGGGTGGACCAAGGAGAGAGAGGTGGGAGATCCAGAAATGTGACCAGGGCGCAGAACTTAGGAGATTTCTTTTAGGGAGACCCTTCCTGGGCTTCTGAGACAAGAGAGGTGCTGGGAAGGCACCAGGCAGGACTGATGGATTTGAGGCTGGTATGGGCAGAGTATCCTATGCCAGCCTACTGGGTGGTGTCCAGGACTAGTCCACAGGCTGCTCAGTGGGCCTATCACTACCTGGCGCCTTGGTAGGTGCGCTGCCGGCAAGAGGAGTTCCCTGGCCTTCCAAGGGGGCCGCCTTGTGCACTGGAATCTCTGTCTGCAGGATGAATATTTCACAAAGGCAGCTGGGAAAGGCAGTGCCTTTTTACTCTAAGCTGAATAGAGCCTGAGGGGGAAGGGCATGGCATCCTCAGGAGTGGAATAATGCGCTCGCGACACCGTGTTCCCGTGTACAATGGGACGGGAGCTGAGTGCGGGAGACGGCTTTGGTTATAGAATTCTTTCCCTCTTGGCCCATACTGAATGAGGGCCTGGAATTGTTGCCTGTGACCTTTGACAGCAGCACAGGGGGCGGCAATTGTGCTGACCTTGATGAATTAGAACCCACAGGGGAGACTAGCAGTGCCTGCTGTTCATGAGCATCTCACTCCGGCCAGATGCTGGGCTGCGCTTTCCATAACTAACTTTGCTTCAATGCAAACAACAGCTGTGTGGCATGTGATTATCTCTCAGCTTTACAGAGGAGGAAACTCTGGCTCAAAGGAGTCCAGTAACTTCAAAGCCCTGAGCACAATGCCTGGCACACCATCCCGACAACAGTATAGCTAGACTTTAGGTTAGATTTGTTCTTTGCCTGGCATTGTTCTAAGTGCTTTAATAGGTACAACACATTTAATGTTTATAACCACTCTGATATAGGTTCCATTATTAGCCTCATTTTTTAGGTGAGGAAACTGACACACAGCAACGTTAAGGAATGTGCCCAAGGTCACACAGCTAGCAAGTGCCAAAGCCAAACTTGAACCTAGGTTGTCTGACTCCAAAGTTTAAGTGCTTACCTGTTTACAATACTACCTCATATACAGAGAACACTCAGTCTGTTAGCTGCTGTTACTCTTGTTACTCCCAAAGGTGCACAGCTTGTGAGGGCAGAACTGGGATCGAATCCAGGATGTCTGACTGTAAGATACCTGCACTGAACTTCTGTATTAGGCTGAGTGAGGGATTCTTGGATTTTTCTCGTTGACTGAGGGTTAGTAGGGAAGTCCAGTTGTTCAACCCAGTGACAGATCCTACTGGAGTTCACTGGGACCTGTGCTCTCTTCTTCCTGGGCTCACAGCCTCACTACATGGCCCTGCTTCCTTTGCAGTGAAGTATGGACACATCAGTGAATTCTAGCCACCGGAGTATGAGCAGAAGGGATGTATGCCACTTCCAGGCTTGTACCACCCCCCCCAGATAATCCTCCCATCCTGAACCCAGAGGACGTAAAGAAGGGTCACAGCCTGGGTACCTGAATGACTGCATGGAGCAA